TCGTGAGAGTTTTGGCGGGAATTGCGGATATTAATACGTCGGTCAAGGAATAATCATATCCTGGAGCTAAGGTTGGTAAAAATTACTATTATTTATTTATTGTTTGAAATAAACTGATGAACAGCGTTCAATCTTAGGAGCACGCTCAGCCATGTGGGACTTTGTGCCACTATTGTCGAGGAAACTCGTGCGTACACTGTTATTTTCGGGGTGTTATTTTAACACCACTTTGAAGGGATTCTAGAGGGGTAATACGGGAGTTAAAAATTTGAGCTCTTTTAACTCCATAACTGGAGTTAAAATAATACCCTTTGAGGGGTTACAGGCATTCGCAAGCTAATCAGTATTCAAAAGTAACACCACGTAAGGGGGGTTAGTGAATTTAACTCCATTTGAGGGGTTACTGGCGTCAAGAGCAAGTCTCACATGATTACATATGGCGTTCAAGTTGATATTTTATAAACAGATCTGTGAATTTCCTGTTATATATGAGGAATGAAAGCTTTAAGAATCAAATTATGGATGAAGAACATTTCGAAGGTTAGTTTATCACTTTATCTACCGGTTGTTTGTAGCCCATTTAGCTTAAACGGCGGATATAAGTCAAATTTTCATTCGTTTTGTGAATAACTGAATACAAGTTCTTTGAATGTTTGCATGGCGATAAAATATAATTGTTTTTGTTTGTGGAAACACCACGTAAATTTATTACTGCAAAGCTTTCGATCCGTAAGCCCGGATCTTCATCAGTGCTAATAATATGTGACTTGTTTAATTCACACGCTCTTTTTATATACAAGAGTGTCGTCACAGAGTAGATAAGACATACAGAGACGTAACTGACCGTTGTAAACACTGCGGAAGATTACGTTATCATGTACCCACTTTTTTTCAGGTGACCGGGCGAAAAATGATCAACTGCGCGTGCTCAGCAAGTTTAAAGTTAGTCGTCATCAGGACGTCATCCAATCAGATGCACGCATCTAGTAACTTGCCGAGCATGCGCACAAAAAAAGTGGGTACACTAGTTACGTCTCTGTATGTCTCTACTCTGTGGTGTCGTGATCTGTTGTTCAAATGACGCGAGCCAACAGATCACGACACTCTTGTATATAAAAAGAGCGTGTGAATTAAACAAGTCACATATTATTAGCACTGATGAAGATCCGGGCTTACGGATCGAAAGCTTTGCAGTAATAAATTTACGTGGTGTTTCCACAAACAAAAACAATTATAACTGAATACAAGTTTTAAACCTTAAAAATGTTGTTGTACATAAGTGTTCTTTTCAGATTGAAAAAATATTTTGATTGTTCCAATGAATACACAGACTTGCTTAATTGATATTCTGGACTTATCCCAGCCTCGTACCCAGGCTCTTTAGTAATTAATAGCGTTCAGAGCTCTGGGTGAGCTAGGCGCGCGGGGATTCTTGGGGAGGTTGCGGCAAGGAAGGGAAGAGCCTGGGAGATTTTGACCGATATCTGAATAATCTCGACCGACTTCTGAAGAATCGAAGATATTGCAAAGTTTTAGCTGCTTTTCTCGAATTTTTTTATTTGACATTCGTCATTGCTGATTCTATGGGTACTATAGAGTGAGTATAGACGAATATTTTCAGAAAGAACCGTCTGGAGGTAAGTTTATTGGTAAGTTTATATTTTGCCGTGAAATGCGAGGTGGAATGTATAAATAATTTGCTTTGTTGTCGTTCATGGCTATGTTAAAGTTATAAAATTAGCTCAAACATGTGTCTTGTGTTTGCAGAATTATCTGATGACGAGCTTAACACCCGAGTCAAAAGCTGCTGCCGAGTCGAAACCCAAACGATTTGCAGGTCTGTTAATTTATGTACATGACAATACTTTATTTGTCACTATATCTTTCAAACAAATAGACCATTTTCATAATTTAGACACATTTAAATATTCTTTTATCTATAGCCTTCTTGCCCTTGTTTAGGTTCAAAAATTCTTCACAATTCCAGCCATAGAAACGAGGCCAAGACGGCTTATTAAGATAACATAAAAGAATATTTAAACTGGTCTCAATCATGAAAGTGGTATATGACAGTATTACTGTTGATTTCAAATAACTTTTACTGGAATGTTTCGAACTTTGCAACTTTGTTGTGAAGTTCAAAAGTTCATAATAAAGTTCATACGCAAGTTTGTAAACAAAACATAAGATTGGCTACTAGAGACATAGTAGCCTTGCAATCAAATGTTTAGTTTACCAACAGGTTTGTGAATCACATTATGAACTTTTGAACTTCAGAATTAATTTGCACACTTCAAAACAAAGTTCAGAACATTTAGTGAAAAAATATTTAAAATTTTACTTATTTTACTCTGTCTAATGCCTGATGATTTTTTCTCAAGGGATGATTCTTGTGTCTTAATGGAGTTAATTGTATACAGATGGGTTTGATATATTCCTCCATGTCAGATGCATGATTGTACGGTTATAATGTATTACTCCATTTTAAGTATAGGTGTTCTGTAGAATTTTCTGTAAGTTATTGCATATATGAATTTTTATGAGTTAAATCAGTCTTCTTCAATTGTATCTTACAGCATATAACCTGTCCAGTCACCAGTGTAATGAAAGGAGGCATGTATTGTCAAATGAGCTGGAATAACTTGTGTACAAGGAAGATCCAAATGCACATATCAAACAATCAATGTTGATGGATATGCTTAACCTGGAACCTAAAGAAAATAGCCTCCTCACCAGAACTGTTAAAGCGACTTTTCCAAATAGTACCAAGAAGATCATCATGGTTGCAGGGCTGTAACCTGGGTATTACGACAGGGTGGGGTGTGAGCTTGTTTTGCCGGACCAGAAGGGTGTGGCACAATTTGTGCCCGACAGACATTTCAGTCGCTAATGAATATCTTTTCCCGCAATTGTTGAGGGGGGGGGGGGATGTTCGGTTCACTAACATCGAAATTTGTACAATTTCTGAATTTTTCAGTAATATTTTTGTAATTTCTTTGCTGAATTACATTTTATTTTGCCTGACAAAACTGCCCCCCCCAGAGTTACACCCCTGCATGGTTGACCGTGAACCATTGTATCTTATTGTGTGATTAAATAATTAGTTTTGATGCTGTTTTTTTTTTTTCACTTTTTTTATTCTAATATCCAAATAAATATCAAGTTGTGCCAAAGTGTTGTTGCAAGTGTGCTAATAGTTCTCAGGCTCTGCATACAGGATGTTTTATATCTATGTGTTACTTCAACTTCTTTCAATATGCTTCCAACACAAAATTTGATGTAAACAACATTGTTTCTTTACATTATAAATTTTATTTTATATCATAAAACATGTGCCAATTTAATGCAATCATATTTTATAAGATTTATTTATATATGTACAAAATAATATTGTTCTTGACATTCACCACAGAGTTGTTTAATACAAATCTTCTAATAAAATCATCTAAATAATAATTTAAAGATGATAACAAAGACATCTTAGTGATACAAGATCAAATTAAAAACATGGAAGAATGCTTATTAAAAGATGAAAATATTGCTTCAGCAGTGGATACTAGTAATATAGATTTAGCTAAAACACTTTCAGCTAAACACTGTTTAAACTTTCACCATAATACCAACAGAAAATGCAAAAGCTTCAAGATAGTCAGGGAGATGGTACAATAAATATGTCTCAAAATGAACAAATTGCAAAAGAAATTAAAGTCGTACGATGTCGATATCCAAATATCTTTTCAATACATGTTTCTTGCGCGTGAAGTTGCCTCTACATTCGTACAGATTCTTTTATGTCAGACATGGAGAAGTCTTCCTTTAATAATAATGTTTATAAATACGAAAATGATGATCCAAATAATCAAATATGCCATTATCGTGAAAAAAAAGCCCTTTGGGCAACGCAATCGTCTTTTGCGCACAGGATCTTCCCCAAACAAACCATTTCATAGACAAGTCTTTCAATCTCAATGTAACACATTGATTTCGTCCATAATACAGTAAAATTATTAATTTACATTCAAACTCTGCATTCAAATAAATTTGCATTGTCGGCCATCTTGAATTCAAAATCTCCCAGGCTCTCTCTTCGCCGCAACCTCCCCAAGAATCCCCGCGCGCCTAGCTCACCCAGAGCTCTGAACGCTATTAATTACTAAAGAGCCTGGGTACGAGGCTGGACTTATCCACCGTTTTATAGACTAAACGCGCTGCGAACAACCGGCCCCTGGGGTCGGCTGTTTAATATTTATTTATTTAGCTTTACCAACTAGGGCAGGGTCACCACAACAGCATATGCCAATTACTGTGGGCCCTTTTCTTTACCTAACCCACCCTGTCAACTTTCCCTGTGGGAGGAAACCGGAGTACCCGGGGAAAACCCACGGCTTTCGGCAGAGCGTCGACTTTTACTCTTTTCACATGGGGACTGGGTTCGAGTCGCACTGAGAAGTTACTTAGTGAGACTCGAACCTGCAGCCTCAGAGGTGAAATAGGCGCATCAAAGGCATTTAGCTAAGGGGCGGACCATTAGAAAATGGGGGAGGGGTGGTGGCAATTTCAGAAAAAAAAACCGTGCAAGGTCAGTTCAGAGGAAAAAAAAATCTTGCAGAAACCCAGCGTGGGAAAAAAATATCTTGCAAGTTATTAGACCAACATATATTTAGGTAAAGTTATAAACCTCAGAGAATAGTAAATCAATGGAAATATATAAACGTAAAAAAATATACATAATGTAGACTGTAGTTATATTAAACATACACATCTCAGTCTAAAATATTCAGTTGTACTGTCTTAAAATAACCTGTATTTAAAATATAAAGTTGATTTATATACAAACACTATATATTAACAAATAACAACATAAAATAACAAAAACAGAAAACTTTCACCATGTTATCAGTATCAGTTGAATATAAATGTTATCTTCCTTTTAATATCACAGCATGTTTATATGTAAAAGTGTTTTCAATTAGATATGGAGAATTTTATGAAGTATCTTTTTAAAGTTCTTCAACATCATTCTCAATGACCACAGAGTCATTGTCTGCCCCATCACAATCCGAAGTTTCAACAACATGACAATCATCACCAGGCCCTTCAGTCACATTTATAATAGCATGAAGCTTTGCTCTTTTTGCCTGTCTTCTTTGTTGGATTTTGTTATGTGATGCTGTTTTCTTGTGTTTTTCAGCTGCCATCTCAACTTTTGCTTTCAAGGCAGTAACTTTTGTACTAACATGTTCAACAGCCTCTTGCAGCAGTGGTAGATGGTGTAAATAAAATTCATTTGGCTCTTGCCACTCTATGATTAAAAAGAAGTCAACATACATGCAGTTAAGCTTCAAAATAGCCTTAAGTTTATATAGAGCAAGTTTCTATAGACATTTATGATTTCCCTAGTTTAAATGCATATCAATTATATTTTAAGGCATGTATCCATAAAATTAATACCTTCTGAAATAGGTGGTTTCCTAATTTGACCTTCGCAAGCATGAAGGGCATTTATGGCAAATTTCTCAATTCTCACAAGCTCAATTTGGTATTTGCATAGTTTCTCATATATGTTGAGTGTAACACTGTCAGTCTGACTTGCAGCGATGGCCTCAGTCGCAGGAAATCTCTTCTGTATCTCTTGGATTTGACCATATATAGACTGTTTCTTATAGTACTCTGTCCATTCGTCAATTGCAGGTGACTTGCTGGTTGCTAAAAGCAACTTAATTCTGGTTGCCCTTTCCTGCCTGCACCAAAGTTCACAGTCTCTCAAACTCTTTGCAAATTTAAATCTTTCTTCAGCCATCTTCAACACAAACGAATTCGACAGAACCTGGCTTGGATTGCGGGGTCTATCATGCCATAAGTTTTTCTACTTGCTTTTTAAACATGACGTTCCCACGACGACATTTCCCATTCCGTCGCGTGTGCCAAAGAAGTTTCTGAACGACTTTGGCAGTTTTACAATGACAGATTGACTTGACGTTTTATATGAACCACAAGCACTACCTGAAGGTGAATTTGTCTTTGCAGCGCCAGTTTCAATGCAAAATTGCTTATATTCGCGGATAAGTCGTCTAAATTCGAATTTTGTCATGAATGCAAACTCAGCATCATCGCCGTCCGTTACGTCTGCTAGGTGATCTATAGATTGTATGCCCATTTGTTCTAGTTCAAGCTGATGTTTTTCAAGCGATATGCTTTTTAAAAAGCGGGTAAAATCAGAATCTGAGGTGGTGCCAACAACATTGTCATCAATGGCAGCCATCTTGTTCTCTTTGAAATACCTTCAGTAGATGAAGTACTTGCAGAGCCAACAGAGCCTGCAGTACACGTATTATTTGATCGCTACCTGTTTTTCGCTGCGAAACACCATGAAAAGCAAATTTTATGGTTGATATATCTGTTAGAACTGGTAGAAAAGATGACTGTCCGAGGACGAACTATTCAAAACGAATTTAACAGTGCTATAAGCCTTAAACACATCAGAGTTTCACTTTGCAATCGAACAGTAAGTGAGACTCACGCTTTTCTTAATGAAAAAATATTAAGTACGACTAGTGAATCTTCACGTGTAAGGCTTGGTTCAATATCATGTCTCCTAGACGAGCTTCTGGTATTTGGCTGCATGGAATTCCACGTTGCGTTCGACCATTATTCATCAAAAAATACCACACTGAACTGCGCGAACGAGAGAAATTGCAAAAAACAATTCAAGGTGCTGGTTTTGTCTAAGAGTGGATTGCCCGTAGCATTCCTGGATTGTGGCGAGAAGCAGTACTTGTTATTACTTGAGAGACCTCTCGACAACATTCTTCTTTTGCAGTGTTTGGATGATATTATTTATGATTCTACTGGCAAAGCACACGAAACTCTTTTTCCAAACCATACATTATGCAGCAGTGTGCCACATCTTATGAAATTATTGTCATCTTCTCGGGACAGAGCTATAGTTATGTTCATTCTGAGTTCTATATTCTCAGCACGCGCTTTGAGAATTGCTTTTGGTTTTCGTGAGCATATCGTCAATAAAGCGGTAGAAGATATTCAGAGTTTTGTAGAAGAACTAGAGAATCAACAACATTTTATATCAAATCAAGCTGAGAATTTGCTGAGCCAAACAGTTTCTCGCTTGGAAGAAGAAATAAATTCAAGCGACCGACGACCAAACAAGAGGGTTCTTGAAGACAGCGAAGATGACATGGAATTTGAAATTAACAACAAAAGAGCTAGACTTCAACATCTGAAAACAAATAAAGTTGCTGTCAAGGAGAGAATGGCGAGAAGACTTTTTCATAAGTGGAAAAGGTCTTTAAGATCCCAGAGGGGAAAAGGGCAAGGACGTTATAGAATTGATCGTGGAGCAGAAAGTGCGATCAACGATATTCTTTATGAGCAATCGAAAGCCCATAATCGAAGGTACGTTTAAGTTTTAATTAATATACGGACTTTTATAGATATTCCCAGTTCTATAACCAAGTACGACTTGTGTTATTTTTGTATGCATGTGCTTTTTTTTTCATTTTGATGGCTCATTTATATTAACTTAAAGATCAATTATTTCATGCACCAAATACGAAATGATCGTTCGGTTTTGCAAATTACTGGGAAGTGGATGCAAAATTTTTATTTCCCTGGGACTATTTCCCGGCTTCGTGCATGTGTGAGAATTTATTTTGTTGATTTAAACTATCTTTATATAGATGGGGAGATGAAGGAACCAACTATGTTGAGCACGAAGGTAGAATACATGGAAAACAAATGCGCAAAATTGCAAATCGGTATTTGAAGAAAATGGGAAAACCGCTTGTTAAAAGCATTGCAACATGCCGTTCTTGGGGAAGATGCCGTAACACAAGATACAGACAAGCGAAAATGCACCGAGGGAGAAATCTGTGGAGCTTTTTAAGGCCTCAAAAGAACCTCCACACACGCCATATCAATGTACACTACAACCGGGCGCATGTTAAGAACTATACAAAGGCAGTATTCAGCGATAACGTATTAAAGAAATACGTTTGCAGGAGAGCAATGGACGATAAAGCATATGTGCGATGTGGCACAAGTGAAGGATTTTCACGTCCAATCCATGCTCCTGTCCAACTAACTAACTCCTCTGATGGTATGCTGCCTTCATCAGATTACCCAGATACTGTTGGATATGTCTCTCCTGGTGTGATTCTGATGATAAACGATATGAAGCAAGTGGAAAATGCCGCAAAGAACGGCACAGCTTTTGTGCCAACAGACGTCAGCGTTTCTGTAACATGCAAGCCGAAGAGAGTTTACCCAAGTTCAACGACTAATTGGGCCAATGACATGGTTTCTGTTCGACTTTCTTTTAGAGATGAACACGAAGTTTCCATGGAAGAAATACCAGAAATTTCAGGTGTACCCGAGAATAAAGTCCCTTTTATCATATCTTTAAGAGATTCTCTTTTGCAGTTCCGATTAATGTCTATTCCAACCGATTATAAACGAGTAAACGAAGGTGGAGATCACCTAGCAAGAGAAAAACTGAGGACAGATATATTACTGAAACGGATAGATGAAATTCTAGCAGCACTCAAATATGAGGAAAGTCTCAAAAGCCAAGAGCTTGACAAGCTTTTTAATGGTTTGAAAGAACTCCAGACAGCATTACAAAAGCTAGGTATTTTGCATTTATACTTATAATTTGATATACTGTAGCTAGATGATTGAATTTTAACAGGGTAGAATAGTATCCAAGTTTTGTAATGCAGGTATATGCATTTGGTCAAATTCATCTTTTTTCCTTAATATTGTTTCTATGCAGCATTGAAGCTTAGCGACGGGGACTGGAAAATTGACAACGACTACGACGAAATCTGCCAACAAGCATTGGGTATTCAAGAATTTCTCGAGTCTAAGGGATTTCTGAATCACAGGTATTTAATCCATTAATATTTTAGTAGAGAACATGCAAGAATGGTATTAGGCCTAATACTACAAATGAAATTACTGTGCTCACTACTAGTTAAGTAGCCATAATATATTCTTCATGCCTTCGTTTAAATCACTCCTTCTGATCCAATAGATCATCATAGATCAGATAGACTGAGTTTTTGTCTAGTTATAACTAATTTTTGCAGGGTCGGGTTGCACAAAGGCCGCCGGATGGCCCAGATGTTTTACACCTGTCGCTGTCCACTGGGTAGTGCGGCCTTCGTACAACCAATCCCTGTTTAATATCTATAAAGTAGACAAATCTTAACTCTTACCATGAAAAGAACAAGCAGAATTCTGTTTAAATATAACATTTTAATATAACTATAAATAGACCTATCGACATCCAGACAACTGACGCAGGTCCGGGCGTTTCATGTCACGAACGCATGACGCAAGTGAGAATGGCCGAATATTTCATGATAAACTCATTGGACTTGCAAGCCAGGTTCCATTATGCACCACATGATTCCTCAAGCCACATAGCAGAGAAGGTTATGCGGTCTCTGAATGAGTGTTTGGGTGGAAGATCTATCCCAATCAAGTACAAGAAATCGGTGTACGAAGACTTGGACTCTTCCAATCTACCAGAACTGACGAGTGAGATGCTCGACCAACTCCAGAAAGAGAGGGAGATTGACGCATCAAAGGACTGCGCAGAAGCAGTGAAAAGGAGATGCGATGGAAAGCCATGTATGGGCACGACAATAAAATCAAGAGTACCGTGGTACGATGTGCACAGGAAGTTCTTCTTTGACGAAGATTTCATGGCTAAGTGTGCCCAGGCCTCCTCGGCAGCCGTTCTAGAAAAGTGCGCTGGGAAAGAGTACTACAAATTCGTCCTTGGTTTTTTTGAGGAGCACTACATTCTATACGACAATGGTTTCGAAGGAATCCGTGATGGGTGCATTAAGGTACAAGGTAGATCCTGTAACTTCCACAGCAATATCGAAAACCATTTGGTGATTAACCAAGGGTGGCGTGGTAGCCATGTTCGACGCGTTCAGCCGCCAGCACCAGATTACGAACGGCAAGACGGATTTCACTATTCAGTACCTACCCAAATCACAGGTAACATGTCTGTCAACTGTAAGCGCGAGGTTGACGACTATAACCCGCGAAAGAACCTGGAAAAGCTGCTTGCCTCTTGTGGTACCCCAAGCCTGAAGGTGGAAGAGAGTGTCAGTGACGATGGTTCAGTGGTGGCTAAAGTCACGGACACAAACAACACATTAGGAAAAGCATTAGAACAGGTTGACGAATTTGTCACTAAATATACTGGACCGGACTTAGAAAGTGTGGTGGTGCAAGAAATTCGCAGAAAAACTGGAATGAGGGTGAAATCTGAGGTTTCGAGAATGCTAAATGCTGATGTAAAGGCAGCTGAAAAAGCAAAATTGTTTCTGGATTTTGATTGGGATAAACTTATTAGAGAAAACACGTTGCAAAAACTGTATGTATCTCAACTGGATCTTTACCTTAAACATGCAGGCTACACAGATAGTGACCTACATGTGAAAGGTTTCACCAAAGATAAGAAGATTGAGGTGATCAAAAGGCATTACTATAATCAGGAACATCCAAAGGCGAAACGAGCACCAGCCGTGAAATCATCTCAACGTTTTTCAGGCACGAATAGTAAACCAGCACAAACTGAAAACACCACGTCAGTCAGACAAACGCAAAGTGCTACTTGTCACGTATCCCTTCCACCTATTTCCCCTGCAAACGCAAATCCCACAGCGAATGTCCTTATAAATGTACCTCCTTGGGGTGGATCCGTAAATATACCATTGTATGGTATAAGAACATTGATTAACACGTGCCCCATTGACAACTTTTTAGTGATTTTATATAGTCAACACAAGACGAACCCTGCTTTTGGACTTGAGCTAACCCAATCCACGGAGGCGTATGCGAGCGTGCTTATGAAGGTTTTTGATTCATTTGACAACGGTAATTTCGGCGAAGGAAAGTTCTGGTGGTTACAGCAATTCGGGGGACGTTTTGATTTCCGTAACAATGCACGAATAGACGTTTGGGGAAACGAAGAGGACTTATTTGTTTCACGACTGAGTCGCTCATTTCAGTCGTGTTTTCGGAGTCATTGCTCTTCCCCACATTGTCCATCACCCCATCTTGATGTTAACTCCACAGGGATCTGCTTGAGGTAATAAAGAACATACAAGTATATTCTGAATATTTCATGTATTTTTCCATGAAGGTAATACCTTCAAAACTATAAAGTGTATATGAAAAACTTTTTTGTTAGAATAAAGTCAAATTCTCTTATAGCGTTGCCGCAGCCCTCCCAGCACACACAGTTATACAGACAGCCCTGAAAGAATGGCTAGAAACGGAAAAAAATCAAAACGACATGCGGCCGATTGTTACCCAGTCTTACACCGCCGAATGCTGATGTGTACTGGAGCTTAACCACACAATTCAATCATTCAACAGGACATGTAATGTAAGTGCATGCGATATGCATCCGGTGTTATTAATAAGATATTAATATAAAACTATATGTGAGCTTTATATACTATTATGAACAGGTCCTAATATTACATGTTTTGTACTGTTAATAATATATATCTTTTACAGCCAGAAACCGCAAGCGTACTGCAACGGTAAAAGGCAGAACTCACGACGAGAATTTCCACGGGGTGCTCCCCCTTTTCTATTCATTTCCTTGGATCTCTTTTCCCGCAAAGGTATAATTCATAGCATGTCGCAGCTGCCTGGTGAACTTCAATTCATTCAACGGAGGTACAAAAGCCTTTTTTCATCTTGACTTATTATAAAATACCAACTATATGCGGCAGTTTTTCATGTATTTTTTATTAATATCTAGGTACATTCTTTGCGGACTAACATTTTGGAAGCCTAGTGGCCATTACCGTGGTGCATTTCAAGTAAACGGCACTTGGTTTTATTACGACGGGTTGTGGGAGCGAAACTATCTTGCCAGATGCCAAGGCCAGCCAGCCACTCCGGAAGGGTTTCTTCTATCACATTGTCTGTATTTATCAGTTTAATAAACGTCTATATCTCGTATTGTGTGTATGTAATGTAATTATATATTCAGTAAACAATATATATAATGGTAATATAAATAGGGCTGTATAATATTAATAAATTATAGTTCACATTCCTTTAAAAAAAAATCGTGCAACACAAGCATGGCTGAAAAAAAAAATCTTGCACAACGTTGTTGCAAAAAAAAATATCCTGCCCGAAAAAATTGCCACTCCCCCTCCCCCATTTTCTAATGGTCCGCCCCTAAGTTAATGTATATTTAGGGCATTTGGACAAAACAAGTAAATAGATGACCGCACCGGCATGCATTAAAGATCGGTGCTACTTAACATTCATAACTGTGCTGTTACAATGTTGTACTCTTGTTGCAATGGACACCTTGCAACTGTGCTGTGGTGAGTGAACGATACGTATTGAGAACAATAAGTGACTGGAGAGCATGGAAAGCTGTTGGATTTGTAAACAAAAGCCGACCGGTAAGACAATTAGCACAGCATTTTTCTTGCCCTCCAGATATTGTTATGCAAAGTGCTTTAGCCCAGCTGCAAAGGTCTGGCTATTCCCAGAAATTAAATAGCAGAAATTGTTTCAACTGTCAGTGTAATTTAACACGATTCATGGTTCTATTCAATTTCTGACGAAGTAACCTGGTTTAATTTGTCGCAAACGTCGGATGTTAGATAGAACAAGGGGCTACATTGTAGTATGCAATATGAAAAAATAGTTCCGTTTACATGAGACCGGGACGACGTCAAACTGGGAAGAAAATCGAAATTGTCAGCATGTTTACTTTACGGTCCGAATTCATTCCAGTCTGAAGATCTTCGGTTTGGTCCAGCAAGCGGGATGACTTCGGACTGATCTGTGCAATTTTATGTTGTGTGATTGTATAATCTATTATAAGTAATTCTTTGCCCGAAATTCGATTATCCTGGTTTTACCTCGACCCGACTCAATCAGAAAACGGGCCTAAAATAAATATTCTTCTTGAAACAATGTTTGAAAAATATAATTGTCTAATAAGATCGTCAAAATAGCGAAAGTTTTAGTGTGTGGTATCGTATATAGATCAGTGGGACATTGCCATTTTCTCACGATCAATAAGGAATGGAGATTGCATGGAGTATGAGAAAAATATCACCCGAAAACTGTAATTTTTGGTGTGCCCAGAAGCTGATTCCCACAAAAGGCGTGTTAGTTCAACGACCGCCGAAGTGGTTTTTATTAAGTTAGTGTATTTAGGACATTTGGACAAAACAAGTAAATAGATGATTAAAGATCGATGCCACTTAACTTTCATAACTGTGCTTTCATCAATATGTTAATTTTTCCTGAAAGGTGTTTTTGAAGACGTTTCTTTGTTCAGTTGCCGCCTTTTATCGCTGTCTTAATTGACTGTACTGGCTCATGTTTGGGACCAAATACTGAATTATTTGTATATAGTGAAACTTAGAAAGAAACTTTTAGAGCAATGACTAGAAAACGTTGAGTTAGTTCGACGATAATATTTTTATGCACTTTAAATAATATTGTTCGTCTGCTTGAATAATTAGTTTTTGTTCCCGCCGCTACTTAACGTTCCAAAAACGTTCGGCTCCGTTTCATGGAAACGAAATATATACATGGGAACCAAGTTACTGTTTTCTTGTAGCTTGGTTGTATATGAGAGGGGTCACAAGAATTTGTACGAACCTGTTATTGTACATTTTGCTGTAGGTTTTCCAGGTTTTTTTCCCAGTTTTTGACGATAACATTTTTATGCACTTTGATAAGCATATACCTATCATGAAATGTAGTCACGCACAGACAACATGTGTTATATAGCTCAGTGACAGACGTTATTCTATACTCGCACTGCAGCCGAAATATTAAAAACAGCATAATTTCTCCTTTTGTTCATTTTGAACGTAACAGCGATATTGTTGCAGTGTTCACTCTGCTTTATTCTATACTAAACTCACTTTTATCGCTAAAACACTCTAAAGAACGATCTTAATATCGGATTATTCTTCATGGGAACTTGTAAAAAAAAAATGGGATGAGTATATAGAAACAGACCAAAACCCAGACTCGATATGTTGCGGTGTTTCGTAAAATACATCATTTACATGCAGGCATCCAATACATGTGTAATGGTTTGGCGGTAATGTCAAACCCTTATATAGATTTTTCAGGCTGTTGGGCATATGAATGCGATATTTTAAAAAATTGACAATCGTTTTTTAAAGTTGTACGAAAAGCACTTTACAAGCACTATGACGTTCCGCGGCCATAATTGGATATTTAAAGTATGCATTAAACTTCAAAGTTTTAAACTTTTAACATGTGCTTTCAAGCGTTATTAGTTTGCACCACTGATCTATTCTAAGGTTTGCAGCCTGTCATTTACAACAGTTCACGTGCATGTACCTATACCCACTGCCATTGAGCCATGCAATTGAACATTTGTAACATGACTTTTACAGTTAAAGTTATAATTTTTGTAGCAGAAGAACAATATTGAGATATATCGTGTAAGAGCCTCTTTTAAGCCGCCATATGTAACTAATGGCTTGTGTAACCATAGTATTGAAGTGAAATATTGTATACAGTTCCATCATCATTTTAGTATTAGTGCTTTTATAAGGACAATTGCATGGCAATGTGCTGAATGGGTTCACTAGTTTTGTTAGCAAAAGGTTTTTTTGAAAATACTCATAGATAGCAATTTATGCGAAACTTCATCTTTTTTACCCGTAAAACACATGTATCGTTAATATCAGAATAATAATAAGGCGGCTTCGATGTATTGGTCCTAGACAATTAACCGACGGAGGCTATAGAGGCAATAATGGCGGGTTAACCCTTTGAGTTTTATATTCTTCAAAACGTAACATTCTTTATGCAAAACATATCAGAATTTCCACACACGTCTTTAGATTTTACCTCTCGTTATAAAGTGTACACCAAATCAAATTATATATGCGCATACATTTTTAGTTACAATAATACCACAATGGCGACTGCATGAAGTTCTTATTGTCGTTTTCAAAATGTCTCCTGAGTTTTCCGGTTCAAAAATGATACATTAAGTATATGTGTTGAACCTACTAATATTTTAATTTAATCCATTCTAAACCGAAGAAGTTAAAAGGTTTATCACAAAAACAAGGAATGCCGCCTGAATACAATCAAATAATGTACTTACAAGAAGTGTACGTCCTCTTCTTTGGACTCCTACACCAGTTGAGAGCACTCTGTCCCGCCTGCCAGTAGAAATAGGAAAATTTTCATGAACATCTCCATAAGTTCTACTCAGTATGTTCACGTTTTCTTGAGAATTATAGAATTTATCGTGATACATAACGAATAGCTGCCACTAGTGCACTACCCCATGTGTGACAGACAGCGAATATTGTATATATTCATTATTATGTTGCATGTAAATATTGATTGAATAATGAGTTATGAGAATAGTTTATTCACTTTATTGTCCACATAATGCAGGTGCAAAATTGGGAAGCGTATTTTCATTACAACAGTACGTCTATATAGGCAAAAATGTACGCGTACATGATAAAATAATTGAATTCTATAGAATTTACACTTTACCGGTTTATTTATTTATTTAGCTTTGCCAACTAGGGCAGGGTCACCACAACAGCATATGCCAATTACTGTGGGCCCTTTTTACCTAACCCACCCTGTCAACTTTCCCTGTGGGAGGAAACCGGAGTACCCGGGGAAAACCCACGGCTTTCGGCAGAGCGTTGACTTTTACTCTTTTCACACGGGGACTGGGTTCGAGTCGCACTGAGAAGGTACTTAGTGAGACTCGAACCTGCAGCCTCAGAGGTGAAAGGCAAGTGCGCTAACCACTTGGTTTCGTAAACCTTTTTACAAAAAATTTGTCGGCCATGTGTTAGATCTATTGCCGATTGGTAAACTTAAAGTTTCCTAAATGTTTAATGCAAACTTGACGATTACATATATCACCAAGTCAAGTGGTGGATTTTGTATAATTTGATAAACTTAATAACTGAGCGGAAGTGTTGAAACTAGAAACTACAAAATCAGTCAATCATAATAACCTTGACTCGAACGTTTATATAATTTACTATTAATAATGTTAGTGGAATTTAATGTCATTGTTGAC